GTACATAAATATTGCCGAAACAAAATTATAAAATCACATTGTTCTAAAACAATGTTTTCCAAAGGAAAAGTCTGTAGGTTACTGCGTTTCGAGTGTTCGACAACATTGAATTAATATCTATCCCAAAATATAAAAAGTACAAGTCTAACGTTCTTAAATTATCTAACTGTGAATTATCGTCTTATTTAACTATTTATAATAATGTACCCATAAGAACTATTTATTTGTTGAAATTGAAAAAATATCACTTCTCACATGAAAAGACCATTGCAGAATTTGATGATATTGAAAAAAGATATAAAGTAGCATGTGAAATTCAATTGAAATAAATAACTTGACTGATAATATTCTCTAGATATAATATACGAATGAATATCTCAAATAGTTTATTGAAATGTAGGTTATTGTTGACGATATTGCATAGGATATAATTGAATTCGTTTGAGCTACTGCACTTGAAATTGCATACACTTTTCTTTCACAACACATTTGTGGAAAAAAGCCATCGATATACAAAGACAAAATAAAGTATTAGTATTCGATATCTAATGCAAAATATATTCCGACATTTTTTTCCTCATCGAAAAACCTTTGCCAACATTTGATCAATAATAACTAATTAATAAATGAGTGATCATATTATTTAAAGAGAAATTAATTCTTAGGTGAATATCTTCGATCATTAACAAGTAAATTAGTTCTGTCAGTTGTGTTCTGAAGAATCTTAATTGTTTATTTTATTTAGGATTCTTTTTAAAAAGAAAAAATTTATTTGATAAATTTATAAATCCCAACAAAAGTGCTTCTTTATATTATTTCTAAGAGTTTCTATTATTATAGATAGAAAATTAATTAAACAAACTAAATATTTTAGTAGTATTGTTGTAGAAGATGCTGGACAACTATTTTTCATGTGCACTAATATTATATATTCAAATTGTTTCTACTAAATTAAATTAAGACCTATATTTACTATGTCAAAGAAAATGTTTATAATTAAGAATAGACAGTTTTTGTATAAATCTATATAATGAACTTGTTCCTTATCATCATCGAATATAGTATAATGTATTCGTTAAAGATTTTAGTATTTGCTTTAAAATCTTTTCAATAATATAATTGTCAATATTATATTGTTCAAAAAATTGAAGTAACAATTACTTAAATCTCATTTCTTCTATTTTTCATATTTATCATGATAAAAATATATTTTCACTTTTTTTATGTCATTTATTTTTATTAAAATAATCAATAGAAGAATAATATTTATAGAGAAGGAAATTATGAAACAAAGTTTGGTGAGCGAACAAGTGGTTCACATGTTAATAGTAATTTTATTTTTGAACAATTGAGACGTGTTCTATCATTGGTAAAATCATTTGTCACAGTTGTTAATGTTTTATATTCAATAATGAGATGTGTTAAAGAAAGTAAACAAGTATTTTTATCAGAGAAAAATTGTGTAACATAGTCACTGTGTGCATTTATAATATTAAGTTTAAATAGATGACTAAATCTAATCAATGTAGACGAATGATGTTGTTTATTTTCTTGTGGTTGACGATTAAATATAGTCAATTGTTGAAGAAAAAGAAAGTCTCGGAAGATTATTTGAAATAATTTATGTTCAAATGGACGTCTTTCACGCATTATTAATAATCGAACTTTATCAAATTTTCCACCTTGAAAACAGCTAGTCATCAATAAGAAATCATCGAATTGATATGGAAGAGAATAAACATTACAATTGCCTATATTATTGATAAGTTTATTATCGGCAAATATTCCAAATGATTAAATTCCTCTTCTTATGAAACTATTCTGAATGACATCAGTTGATGAAGGATTAATTTCATGACGATAATTGATAATATGAGTATGTATATTGAAGATAATTTTTTTTTAATTGTGACATATTATTAAGAACTTCATCATATAATTGATTACCATCAATATAAGTTGATTCAGTTCTTACTACTGATATATATATAACGTTAGTTCTTCAAGATTTAACATTCAATTAAGTAATGGAACAACTTGTGTATCATAACCATATGTATACCAATTTGTTTTTAATGAAAAATATTGCAATTTGACTAATTTTTTTCTAAATAAAATAACATAATCAATACATTTTGAAGATAAATCTTTTTATAATCCATTATGACAAATATACTTACTGTATTGACTATATTGGATGAGGAAGAAATTATTTTATTGATACAAATTATCAACGTTGATAAAGATGGAAGACAACCATTGAGAAGATAAAGACAATGATTAAATGTTTTAACATATATCATCAATTTATTAAGAGTTGAAGATAAACAACCTGTGTATGACATATTTGAATAGGAAAGCTTTATATAGTCTTCTGAGCATCGATGAAAATAAGTCAAATCAGTTACACATTTGCTGAGACATACTATGGAGAAAAATATATTTGATTTAATGATACAAATTGTTTGTTTTCTTTCAGAAATTTCTACTTTAATGTGTGTTATTTGATTAGTAAGAAGACGTAACATGACATCATCTGGGGTGTGGGTGGGTGTGGGCGTGGGTGTGGGGTGTGGGTGTGGGGCGTGGGGTGTGGGTGTGGAGCGTGGGGTGTGGGTCTGGGTGTGGGGTATGGGTGTGAGGCGTCGGGTGTGGGTGTGGGTGTGGGGTGTGGGTATGTGTGTCTGGGTGTTTGTCTGAGTTTTCGATATTCGTTATCATCCACACCCACACCGACACCCACCCCCACACCCACCCACACCCAACACTCACACCCACACCCACACCCACACCACACCCACCCACACCCACCCACATCCCACACTCACACCCATACCCACCCACACCCCACACCCACACACCCTTTCTTGAAATCTCACTGACAATACTCAGATTTTTTTTCTTTTGTATGCAACACATAAACAAAAAACGCAAGCTTCTTATCATCTGAAATCAGTGCTCTTCTAATCCTGTCTGATTTGCTGTAGGAGACCTGTAGGCGATAATTGAAATCATACGGTAGTATATTTGAATAGTAAGGAGCCAAATCAGCCTATGATATTTTTGTGGAACTCACATACGTTTTCGAAGAAAATAGTGAGTGTAAGATTTAAGTCGAGGTTTCGCGGCTCCCACTCCTCCTCCACCCGATTACAGATACCCCACCATTACAGACATACCCCTTTACAGACCTAAGCAACCGCGCATAGAAGATTTTCGATTATATATAATCTATCAATGCGATGATAAATATTCGAAAAAAGCTATTTTGCAGTTTAAAAATCAGGTATCAGGATAACAGGTTTCAAAGATATACGTGAGCTCCACATTTCAGCTCCAAAGGAGCTGGGCTAACAAGCTCTTTTCGATTTAAAACTGAAATCGAGAATAGATATTCACAAACAGTTTCCAATAGTAGAGGGTGTGGGTATGGGTGGATGACGGTGGGAGTGGGCGTGTGGGTGGGGATGTGGGTGCACTGCATGTGAAGAGAATAAACAGATCCACGTCCACATCCGTATCCCACACCCCCACCCATCAACACCCACATCCACACCCATCCACACCCAGACCCACACCCACACCCACACCCACAGCTACACCCCCCCCCACACCCCCGCCCGCCCCCCCACCCACCCC